AGTAAAACACGGCTTTAACGTTCAGCTTACCTTATATGTGCATTGAGCTTGTATATAACGAAGACATTGGAAGTGAATATAATTAATGAAGGCACTAGCATACAGATAACCGTCTGAAAAATGAATTATCGATTGCCGATCTACTGAGACTCATGACTATTGCATCAAAATCCCGACTTTTTCAGAAATATTCTAAAGCAGGAAATGTAAGTTCCTACAAAAGCACATGTATGAAAGCATGTAAAGTCTGCCGGTGTGTGGGTGTGTGTGCGTCTGTCGAAATACAGGACGTCTGAAAAACCACTTGGAAGGGCAGGGTGAAGTTTGAGACGCGAAAATTTTGAAAGAGTTCGATCGCAAAATAGCCTAAAATCTTTTTTCCCAGCCTCAAAAAAAATTAGGCAGTGTGTACTTCAGTATCACGTCAACGAAGGAAATCCATGGGCATAGCGTTCTTAAAGGACGAATTCACGATAGAACGAAGGTCGAAGAAGGGGAAATGGCCTAGTTGGAGACAGGCGGACCTCCTGAGGGTGCTGACCGACGCGCAATTGGCAGCGAAAGATTTGACCTCGGCGATCTAGCATGGCTCACTCTTGGCGCGGTGGCGGGTACGCCCACCGACTATCTAATCACTCGCCGCAGGTCTATACGTGGCGAGTGATTAGATAGCAGAGAGAGCGTAGTGTTGAAGAGGGCACAGCGATGAGAGTCGCATCAATGCGCAAATCAACGGGCAAGGAAGGGGTCCCATTTCTCGGGTTCTGGGCCGTTTTCCTCAGTTTTTCGTGCATCACTGACCATCCCTAATTTAATTTCAAATGTATTGCTTTTCAGCATAATTTTCTTCCTTTAGTAAGCGCGCCACAAAACAAAATTCATCAACTGGCTTTCAAAAATTTCCTCCATTGGCGGGGAGTATCCTGAAGTGGGCGGCATTTCCTACACATCTCCATAAATCCGCTCAGAAATACTCGGAGACAGGGAAAAGTGGATAGATGTTCGCCAAGGAATCAAAGTCAATACTACTGATGGGTGGAGCGTACCGAAAACTGAAGTGGACGGGGTTGGCGGAGAACCTTTCTTCAGTTCCTAACTGTCGAGAAGCCAATGAAGCAAATAAAGCAAATGTAGACCCGTGAAAGAGAAGGATTCAGCCTCACAATGGGCCGAGTGGGCACCAGAGTGGCCGGAGCCGGAGTCAAAATTTTAGTTGCTCTAATCAGTATTGCTGTGTGACGCACGCGTTATAGTGCGGGGCCAAACCGGTAATTTTATGTTTTGAAAATTTGTGCTTTAAAAATCACTTTATACATTCATTGCTATAATTCAATCCAATTGTAATAATTCCCCTTTCCCACAAACCATAGCGCGCAATTATTAAAGATGCGATGAAAAGTTTTACTATAATCAAATAACTGGCTGGGAAGAAGAAGCACATGAAGAAGGGATCGAGCTTTCTTTTGTATGTGCCCTTATCGTTAGATCGAAATTAAACGGTTGTATTCTCTTTTGCTTACGCTCATCAGATGCCTTTCTTTGAAATTGGGGCATCGAAAACCGCAAGCTTATCATCACCCTAATACAATTGGCAATCTGATTATTCCCTGTTTTATACACGCCGTCGCGACAATTCCGATAATGAGTTGCTTGATCATCAGTGAAACGGCGCGGAATTATTTATCGAGAGCCCTGGAAAAGCATACAGGGCAATGGGTTCTGCAGCATCAGACAATAACAGCGGCGATGACATCATCTGCTACTTCGCAGAGCAGACATAAGCACTTATCAGCTAGCCGTTCTGCTAGACCCAATGCTCTCGAGCGGTCTCACGATCCTCAGCCTCCAATAAGTAGCAAAGGCGTTCAAATCATTAGCCGGGTCGAATGGTGGGAAAATTAAAATGATTAAGCTACGCGTTTGAACATTGGGTCAAAACTACATTTGAAATTAACTGATAGTTTATTGCATAAGGTCGGTAGAAGATGAAACACGAAGAAGAATAATAACGGACAACGGAAAACGTAGCTTAACTCGATAGAGCGGAGTACATCTTTCTCAAAGGCGCAATCCAGGCAGGCAACGATTTCTTTGGAGTCCTAGAAGACCGTATGGCGCTCCCGTGTGTGAGAATAGTCTAACAAGGGCCTCACAAAGATAGCTTCAAGCGCTCCAGTTTTTTCCGTCCGCAGTGGGGTGTTGTTTGACGCCCTTTCTGGTTGGCCTCTCTCACCTCACAGTATACTCCCGCGCTCAGCCCCTACGTTCTTTGAAGAGCCGCATGATGAAGGTGGGCGAACCTTAGACTTGAGATTTTTCAACAGATTCTTTTCATTTACCCTTTGTTTCTGGCTCATTTCGCACCAGTACTTCCACATTCGAGTATTAAAACACACCAGTCTTATTCGGAGCACGCTTTTACGATTGGGTCGCGTAACCATCCAGAAAGCCCCTAAACCTCCACATTTGGCTATTTTTCTTCTGTTTGGAAGCTTCAATTAGCGCCTCGAAGTTGGAACACATTTGGTTGCTCATAGGAGGCTCGAGCCGGCATGAGTCGAGTGGGTTTTGGAGAGTTCCAATGCTTATTCTATCCGCGACAAAAACCTGCGCCTGAAAAATTTGCTAGTAACAACTGCGTATCTTTACCGAGAAAAACAAACTATTCCTAAACGAAAATCCTCCTTCATAGGACTGATTGATCGTTCGTTTGTACCTGATTAGCCAACTAACCGTAGACGTCAAACTTTCCCGACTCACCTCAAGCACGGTCATCACGTGATAGACCTTATCGAAAGCTGGGTCGATGTCACAAACTCCATGCTGAATTGAGGCCACATAAAGAATCCACGAATTAAAGAGCATAGCGATTACAATCAACACTATTACTTGAGCGCACGCCCTGAAAAATTATGTAATGTGTAATTATTATGTTAAGAAGAATCGGCTTTTTAGGAGCGAATGAAGCCCCGCATCTGAGTTTTGATGTAGCTCTAAAATGGGTACCCGACAGGGAGGCCGTCGCGCGGCGAGAAGGCAAAAACACAGACAGGTCGCTGGACGAGTTATAATGCGTAAGGTCCGATGTGAGACTTACTACGGTACATTTTGTCTAACTTGACGTCAAACCGCTACAGTACGCCGTGCGACTCGTCCATTAGCCCGCCTGCGCCTCCGCCTTCTCGCCACACGACGGGCTCCTGTAGTGTACCCGGACTGCGCGCGGATATAGCTGCTTGTTTTTGATTGTTAACTGCTGTTTTTGGCCGCAGTTCGCCTTGCGAATGTTTCACAAGAATGCTGGGTTGTGAACAAAACTTTCGCCCCAGGCGGGACTAGAACCCGCACCTCTCGCTTTCCGGGCAAGTGCGCTACCAGTTACGCTACCGGGGCACCATTTCATCCCAACTCAGCTTTTCATGTTATATCATTCTCATAATACTAGCTATATGTCAACAGCTTAGAATTACCTATCTATAAGTAAGCAGGAAGACGTTACTACGTTACATTACTGAAGAAAATTCAGTAATGAAAACATGGAGAGATTCATGTGCTTAAATATGCAGGTACATATGTATGTACATATAATAACATCGTAGGCGATAGAATTCCTGGCAGCTTAGGTTACAGCGAAAAGGCTACAACGAACGTTGATTGCCCATACGCTGACCTCAGAACAAACATAGCTCATCAGTGGCGCTCACGAGCTCCAGCATTTATACAAAAGGGGTGCTAGAACTTCAAACGTGCTGAGGAATTTGACTGTTAATTGGAAAAAAAGAGGCTACAGAGAACAAAAATCAGCCTAGGTTATTGGTACTCCATGACGAGGAATAACTAATAAAGTGAATTCAAATAGGGACCAACTTTTCTGTGGTAAGACTCCGCCTATGTCGATGAAGAAGCATAAGCCGTTCACAGCCAACCAAAACGATCAGCCACACGCTGGAGAAGTCACAAACGTGAGCGAAGAACTGATTCACCTTGCAGCTGAGATTTCGGAATTGAAGACCGATCAAGCTGTCCTAAAACGCTTTATCTTTTCTCGGTAGACCTGAAAGGCTCATTCTGTTTTCTCTTTGGTTCCATTTCAGTTTCCTTCGCTCGGAATCTATTTTATACTATAGACTCTTGATTTCACCTTCTGCATTAGCCGCCTGCTTTGTCACCTTGTGATGTGATTGAATAAATGAATGGATAAATTAAAAAAATAAACAAAAATAAACATTGAATCCACATGGGATCCAACTCAATTGTTAACAGCACTTCAACGTCGGTGACAGTTGGAACCAGAATCTTACAGAGGGTTGGCAAGGGGAGTCAAAGACTACATATTGCTCTTATTCCAAAGCAAAGCATGCGCTTCAGCATGTTCCAGAGCAGGCTGCAGTTACCTGTCATAATAGTGTTGTCATTGCATGACGATGAAATTTTGTTTTTCTCACTAGAGGAGAGTTTCAAGTTCCACAATATGTATTTTACATTTATTTTTAATATTTTTAAATTATATTTTTTATATTGAAATACACGAGATGGAAAAAGGATACGGACCTAAAAATCACATCGTCAAGGGTGGCCAGGAGCTGATGCGGAAATCTTTAGGAGAAGAAAACACAAAAGAGCTCTCTAACGAATCGCTTAAAGACATTCCAAACAAAGTTAGACAAAAATTGTTATTTGTGAACGAGTTATGCGTGATAATGTGAATCATAGAAATCGATTCTCACATGACCTCAGAGATTCCAGGATGGGCTGACTGCGGCTGTTTCAAGTGGAGATGGGAGCACAGTAAGTAGTTTCACCCCCATGTATTGATAGAGAATGTGATAAAGTCTCTTTTGAGGTTCAATAAAAGTTCGTCAAGGTTCAATAAAGGTTCTCTGAGGTATATCCAAACTAGCTATCAATCCTGCATCATGTCAGCCTTCATCGTCCCTTTACTTCTTCGATCTCTCAACTTCTTTACTACCACCAATCTTTACTACTCACGCAATTCACTTGTTTGTTTTGCTTCTCCGTTGAATGCAACAGCGCGTCATTCGGGGCGCATAAGCAAATAAATAAATAATAAATAAATAATCTGCAGCCAGCAACGTTGGAGGGATTCTTCACGGGAAAATGATGATGATTCGTATTTCAGCCATAAATCACTGGCATGAGACTCATCATCCACGATAAGAATGAAAAGAATTGCATTTGCTTTGGTAAAAAAATGCTGGCGACGGGAATGCTTCCACTTGGTTCTTGGAGTGCCTTCACTAGAACTCTTTCTGGCCTTCTGCTTTATTGCATTCACATCTCACACTTCTACTCCATCCTATTCTATCGATCGATTTGTCTCTACTCTCCAAAATCGCACGCTTTAACCCGATTCTTTCATTGCGTCGCCTGATACGTAGCCGGCCCAAGGCGGACTTCTTTCCATGCCCCGCCTTGCGCCTTTTACCTTCGATTGTCCATAGAGTGTAGTTTTTGTACGTTTGTTTCTCTTCGGAAACCGAATCTTCATGCGTGAAACTTTGTGTGCTGTTTCCAGTGATCACAACTGACACATTCATGTTGGAAAGAATGCAAGAATTTTCCGCGAAAGATTCCTTTCAATAATCAACACTGTACTCGCATCTGTGATTAGTACTCTATTTTAACTTATCTTTCCACTCCGCCAAATTGGAGCCTTTCGAAAGCTAATTTGCTTTTCCTTTCGCTGCATACGCGTGACACATTCCCGTAAGAATTTGATTAAAGTAAAAATAACAACAATTTGGTATCCTTGACCCCCCGGTATTTTTCTCGAATAGGTCATCTTGACCAAGTGAGTCAATGTGGCAAAGTGGAGGGATAAACAGTACGAGGAAGAAGCGGCTACCAGAAGACAAAACTACCTACTGGTGGCAGTAACAACAGGAATCTGAGCAGAACAGCAGAAATTATAGTTCAAGGAAGCAGGCATTACAGCCCAAAAGTAGGGTTTGTGGTTATTCTTCGGAACGTTCTGTGGTTATTCTTCGAAACGTTCTGTGGTTATTCTTCGGAACGTTCCGCTCTTTTGCTAAAGCGACCCAATAACTTTGCAACTCTACTTTGCTAAGTAAGTCTTTGTAGTAGTAGAGCTGGAAAGGTGTAGCTGCAGAAAGATAATGAGTAATCAGGTGAAAAAATGCACCTGCAAAAAATTCATACCTCAAAATAAAGATAGGACATCTCTTCTAGCCAGAAGACAAACAGCGTGCAGAGGAATAAAGAGCTCATTGCGGCTAGACATAACAGATAGGTGTTCGTTGGAAGTCTGGAGAGCATACGATTGCTTCTGTAAATGAAACGAATAAATCGCTCGACAAATGTGAAAAAATAACAAAAAACATAGCAAAAAATATAAAAAAGTAAAAAACGAGA